AATAATTTATATAATAAATATATATATTTTTAAAAAGCCCTCCTAAGACTTGTCCACAGTCTCTTTGAGTCTGTCCCTGAGCTAGAGACATGGTTGAGGGTCATACTGCATTTTTTTTTTTTAGCCCCTCTGTGTTTGAATGCAGGTGAACCCCAGCACGTTCTTTTCTGGCAAGAAATTGAGCTCATTGCGTTTATTGACTTCTCTTATTTTACACTAGTGTCTTCAGATGTTGAGATGTTTTTTAGGTGGCATTAGGAGGCTTCTGGGAATCTTGCTGGTGATGGTCAGGGTTAGTTCTGGGGCAGTCTTTGACTCAGATACCAGGAGGTTGTGCTGGATATGTGGGGAGCAAGGGCCTGCAATGAGGTCTTGCAAAGCAAACTCTCACTGTCCTTTTGAAATGAATTTCAGGAGACATGTCTGAAAGTAAAGCCAAGAAGATTGAGATAAAAGACGTCGATGGGCAGACCCTGAGGAAGCTGATTGATTACATCTACACCGCCGAGATCGAGGTCACGGAAGAGAACGTGCAGGTAGGTCTGGTCCAGCCGCTCCCGTGGAGACCCAGGGAAAAAGCTTGAACGTCAAAGGCACAAGTCCTTTGGGCATGAGTGATCTCTTCAGGCTGCAGAAAGTAAAAGGCTGAGCTTGAAAAGAGCTACTCCCAGCCTCTGTTTAGTCTTGAGGCACTTTGCTGCTTTCCCTGCACTTAAGTCATGTTGCATTTAGCTTTTGTGTTGATCTCTTACAACGCAAGCAGGCATTTGCCTTCCAAGAAGTTGTGCTGACTTGTGGGTCAGTCTGTCGAAGGTCAAAATAGACTCAAGCAAGCGGTGAGTCAAATGTTGTTTTAAGGTCATGGTCCAGGAATCTGGCTGTTTTTAAATTCTTCTGGGCAGTTAGAGCTGTTTGGCAGAGCTTCGAGTGGAATATATTGTTCAGATGAGGGCATTCTTCCTTTTTTTTGTGTGTGTGCGCTCTGTCTTGAAGTTCTTTAAGGTAAATGTTTGTCTAGAAGTGAAAAGAGTAATTGAAAGGCAGCCTATAGCTCAAGTGGGATGCTCAGGAAGAGAGCGTTTCACCACGTCACGTGGCTGTGGCTGCTGGTAAAGCTTTTTCGTATTTCTGGTAAGAAAACTGCTGTGCACTTAGCCACTGATTTCTGGAAGGGATGCTGGGAGCTCATGTGCAGATGTGCTTTTTGGTTTTTGTTTGCAAGTGGCAGTTTGAGTCTGTTGTCTTCCTCTCTGTGACTTGGACATTGGTCAGCGTAACAAGTCTGTGTCCGTGATGCTGGAAAGAGAGGAGGGGCAATGCTGCTGTGTGCGTTCTGTTGACCTAATTTTGCCATCTTAATTAGACTGGGTCTGCTTGGAATGAGGTTCTTGCTGTGGACAGGACATGCTCTTCTGCTCTAGTCCCTCAGGGAGGGTGCAGGTTCTTGCTGACCTGTCCCTTTTCCTGCAGGAACCTGGACAAAACCCTGAGCTCTGTCCAATTTGCAGCCTAAGCCCTGTGCCATCCTTCATGACCTAAGTCTGTTGGTACCTTTTCTCGCCCCTTCTGCCCTCCAGTTTTACAAACTTCCTGGCATACTCTCACCCTGGCAGTTGTCATGTTGTAGGAGTGTAGACCCTGGTTGCCCTACAGTGAGGGCCAGCAGTGAGGAGACCTTCAAGCTGCCATCACAGCACAGAAGCTGAGGCTCAAACCCAAGTGTGGGTCCCTTGGACCAGCTGTCTGCTGCGTAGCCCATACTTAACTACAACGTATAGTCAGGGTCATCCGGAGCTGAGGTACAACGTGACTTCAGAGGGGAACTGGGATGGAGTTCCTTGGACCTCTGGGATCTTCCATTGCTGGAGGAAAAATGCCATTTACTCCCTCTCAGGCTGGTCCCCTTTCCTGTGGGCAATGTGAAGACAATATCCACCCACTTTCTGAAACGTGTGCTTTCCTTCCGTGCTCCTGGTGGCCCAGAAGCACCCGCTCGGCACGTGGGATGTGCTGAGATCAGGATACTGTCTGGTCTGCTGGCCCCAGTCACTCTGCTTGCTCGAGGTGGCCACGCGGCACGTGGGATGTGCTGAGATCAGGATACCGTCTGGTCTGCTGGCCCCAGTCGCTCTGCTTGCTCGAGGTGGCCACGTGTGCTCTGGCTGTTTTCCCACGAGAGCATTTCGGTGTTCCAGTACAGCTGGACCTGGGTGTAAGCAGCGTTGCGGGAGCTGGAGCAGGCTGGAGAGCCAGCTCAGTCCTGCGCTGCGTTGGCAGCACGGACCTGCCCAGAAGGTCTGTGAAGAAGTCCAGATGTTACCTTTTCCGAGCTAACGAAAGCCTGCTTTCCGTAGCCTAGGGATTACAAAGAGTTAAATTAAGAACTCTATTTTGTCTCCCATCTCTCAGACAGTAAGATTAAAAAAAAAAAAGTAAGTTTTGTGAATACTGAGGTTTGGGTATAGTGTTTTTTCCCGATCTAATAAAGCAGGTCCTTTTACTGCAGGATTTATTTAAATAACCCCTCAATGAGTAACTCTTTAGGCTGGAGGTTAATTAATTCATGGGAGCTAAGAAATGAAGCTGATCTAATACAAGGTTAACTGACTAGTTTAAATTTTATTACGTGTCAAAAATGTCCAAGCTGAAAATGTTATATGAAATTTAATATAATCTTGTGATTATAGTAGAAAGTTTAAAGAGAAATAGAAATTTCTATCCTGTCTCTGAACAGACTGCCATAAATAGGTTAATATTCACCTGCAGCCACAGGAAGAAAAGTTTACAGAAAATAATATTCTGTGATTCATTGGAAAGGTTCCCATCAGTGAAGGCAAACAACATGAACAACAAAATATTAAGCTCCTTGCAGTCTCTGGTTTGGATCGGCAATGTCAGTCCTAGGAAGAAGTGAGTAGGTTTGGTCCCTTGCATTGTCACATCCTCCTGCTGCCCACCTTTGTGCCAGACATCCTGTTTCAGCAATGTTCCTTCATGTTCTTGCTTGGCCGTGGTGAGACTTTCTGTTTTCCCAGCACGTATCTCCTGAGGTCTGCTATAGCCATGTCATGTGCTCTGATTTTCCAAGGGTCCGTTTTCAAAGGGGTTTTTCAGACTTGCTCAGCAGCTGGAAGAAGGAATTTCTGGCTATAGGTGCCAGGTAATTTCATCGTAGAAACTACAAGAAAAAAGATTACTAACAGATGCAGCCAAGCTACCAAAACATGTGAATAAATGAAAAGACAATATCTTGTCAATGAGCAAAATAAAATGAGAGCAGAATTGAAATAAGAATAAAGATGAGCAGCAAAGGTAACACGGGAGTGCAGGGATGAGTGTTCCCAAGTGTGCTCAAATACTGAGTGGTGCCAAGAGCTTCACAGCAAGAAACCTTTTTACAGTATTTTTGTTGTTTCTTTTCTAATAGAAACCTGCCTTTTTTTTTTGCTTCTATAGTCCTGGTTTGGTGTTCAGGAAGTGTTTTTTCTAAGCAGATTTTTTTTGTAGATGATTGTAATTTCATTGCATGAAGTGTTCTTGTTTTTAAGTAAGAAAGGATGTGTGTACCAGGGGCCAAGCCTTGTACAGTCAGTTCCAGTCATCGTCTACATAGTGAATTACTGGCAGGTAAAGGGGATTTTCGGTTCATGCCAGCTCCATGAGGGAAAGCACTGAGCCTCTGTGGGAGCAAATACTCTCTTCTAACTCCATTGATTCTCACCATACTTGGGTGAGAATCGCCCCAACAGATGCAATCCTGCTTTGTGCTTTGGAATCTCATTCTTAGAGTGAGATTTCAAGGCAATAGAGGCAGTAGTAGGAAAGCTCAGAGATGATGGATGATAGAGAGGCTTCTGTGCCGAGCGGTGTTTTGCCGCTGAACACACATTTGGGATTTAACCTCCCACTTGTTTGGAAGGTATGGGGCAGAGGAAGAATTTCTGTCTTCATTGCAGTCATGTTGCAGTCTCAGGAAAATCCATCCTGGGATTTCTGTCCCTGCTGCCTTCTGCTGTTCCTCTTCTGTTCTGTTCTGACAAAAGATCCCATTCATTTGAAGGTGGAGCTGGATGAATTTATTTGTAAGAAAGTTGTGCCATGCAGTTTCCGTAAAAGCGAGGAAAACTGAAGTGAGTGACTTGAGGAAGTTCATAGATGCTCACGTGCAGCATGAGGAGATTTGGGAGGTGGCTTCTCATTCTCCTAGGGGTCCTGTGAAGAACCTGGGCCTCTGGCTGTAGACAGTGAATACAGCCCCTCTTTGCTGTGTCCCACCCATCCTTACTGATGGCACTTAATTACTTGCATGCATCCTGAGAATTACCCTTGCAATTAAGAAAGTCATTACCATTAAGGTTGTAATGATTCCCTGGGAAAAGTCCTGATTAACCTGATTCCACAAATAAATTCTCACCGTTGCGGTGCAGCATATCACATGTGTGGTGTGTCCTTGTACACTACCGCAGAGACATGGCTCGTGGAGAAAGAGCGAAATCTGAAATCAGCTGTCTGGAGGAAATAGATGTTGAAACTGTCAGCCTCTCAGGCATAACTGTGATATAAAATGGCTTGAGAAAGGAGGAAAAAAGCCTAGAAGCCGTAGCATTTCCTTTTCAGCAGTGTGCTTCTGTGCCTCAGCTTTCCCTGGGGACTTGGGACTTCACAGCAAGGAAGGAGAGTCTCTGCGGCAGATGCAGCTTTGATGATAAAGGGATGATAAGTGGTTCATTCATTTCCCTTCCCCCTGTTCACTCCCAAAGCTGCAACTACAGTAGGTGCAAGCCCGGAGTGAGGCAGAGAGTCTTTCAACTCAGCTTTAGGAGATGCAGTAAATCAGGGCTTGCTTCCTTCCCGGAGCCAAGCTCACTGCCTTGCATCGCCCTCCTGGAGAGCCCTGCTCGATGGCAGGGCTGACCTCCCTGGGGCTGGGGGCCCTTCCAGGGCCTATGGAAAGTCTCTTAGGTTGGATTGGCCTAATAGAAAGGTGAGGAGAACCTTGTGGATGTGAATCTTGTGTCTCCACATTTGAATCCCATTGTTTAGCCAAGGGATGATGAAATTAGAAGGCAGATCAGGAGGGAAGTTGCCAGCTCCTCCCCTGTGTTCTCTCTCACCTCTATATCCCTTGTCCTCCTCATGCCTGCTCCTGGAGAGCTTTTGTGGCTGTCTGGTCTGGCTACACATGCCTCTGCCTTGGATATTTCACCCCAGCACGGAGCATTTAAGTAGAAGAACGATTGTTCACCCTCAGCACTGCCTGGTAGCAGCTGGGGAGTGATAAAACCTAATTGCCTTCCTATCACTGAAAAGCCATGTTACAGTAATGTAGTTTTATTTCTTGTGTGGTTTTAGAGCTGTGCAGTTAAAACCAAATATTTAACCTGCCTTGCACATGCATGATCTGCTTGTTTCTCTGGTCACGGATTCCCCTGGGAGGGTGCCTGGGAGCTGTCTCCCTGTTTGGGCAGATGTGTGCTCCCAGCTGTGGCCCTGGATGTGCTGCTGAGGATTGCAGCCAGTACCCTGATTTGACTTCCAAGATGACTAAATTGTCAAAGCAGTTTATAGGCTTTAATATATCCCCTGCCTTGGGGAAATGCTCCTCTCCCAGTTTCGCGGAGGAGGAATGGTGTGGATTAACTCTTGGCCAAGGTTACCTGGAAGGCTGTGGCGGAGCAGGGAGCTAACCCCAGCCTCTGAAGTCCAGCGTTACAGCCCTGCCTCTTGACTGAACCTCACAGCAACACAGAGCACTTTTGGCTGAAAGATGCTTCTAGTTCAGAGACATCAAAGGCTTATGAGAGTATTTAATGGCACAGGCAATGTTCCGTAAAACGTGTATATATACATACCATAGATGAGGTTCTGGACATAATTTATTTAGCGAAGAAGTCAGTCTCAGTACTACTAGCAGATAGTTTGGACACAGTTTCAAAAGATGATTGGATTTTGGTATGGAGGCTGATCTCATAGAGAAGCCAGCTCTCTGTAAATCGTTCGCAGTTGTTGGGAGTTCAAATATTAAGAGCCAAATCCAGACCCAAGTGAGTAACTTGCCTGGATTTTAATGGGCTTGCAGTTTGGTCCTGCTGCATGTTTAGGCAGGGCATTTCCTCTTGTTATTTCTAAAGGAAACAGACTTTGTGCTAGCGGATATCCTTTGCTTGGTTTTCGCCTTCCCTGGTAAAAACAAGATGAGTGGTGAGACGTTCAGCTGGGAAATAAGAAAGAGAAAATCCACTCATCTCTTGATGGGCTATTTATATCCTTCTAAAAAGTGTGATAGGATTTAATGCTCCTTTCCCAATAACTCCAGTGGCATAAAGCTCCTTCTATGCTGCCCTGTCCAGCCAGCACGAGGCTGTAGCAGCAGCATGAGGATGTCCAGGGGCTGTAGCAGCAGCACGAGGATGTTCAGGGGCTGTAGCGTGTGGGTGTTGGTGATGGCAGTGAGTAGCCGTGCTTCTAGAGGCAATATCCCAAAACCCTCGAGGGAGCAGCCGCCTGGATTCGCCGGCGTGCGCACTGGGTGGATGGGGTGCGGGGAGGATGCTGTGGCTGGTGTGTGGCCGCAGAGGGTTTGCACACTCTGACTCTTTACCCACAGCCCTCATGCAAGTCAGGCGCTCGCCTTTCTGCTGATATCAGGAGATGGTTCAGCTAGATAGAAAGTGGTTCACAGCTAGGTTTTGAAAATGTGAGAGCATTGCTATCTTGATTTAATCAAAACCACAGGCTAATCTCCTCCTGGCATCAAGAGGCTTGGGCCAAAATGGGCTCCTGGGTTAATGGATTTCTTTTTTTTATTGTTGCCTGTTGGGCTGGCTGCTTGGCAGCAGTCAGACGCC